CACAAAGATTAAAATTAAGCCTTGCACCTAGTGACAACATTCAATACATACACTGTTTTCAACTTCCATTTCCCACATTTTGAGAGATTAATAATCTTACATAAAGAAAGCAGAGACAGTGTGATCTTATAGGCCTTCAAAGTAAAGGACACATTGAAAAACATAATTTTTCAAAAAGAATAATTACCTTAGCATCATCACCATCCTTTGCTAGTACGCAGAGCACCTCAAGAACAAGATTTCTGATATCCCTACTTTTTGAATCCAGTAGCTTGATTAGAATAGGAATATAGTCCTCCATAATAACCCATTCTCGGTGTATTTCTCTCTGCTCACAAATATCCTTAACCTGTTCCAGGCAATTGAGAACTTCATCCCCCTCGTTGGACGATAGTTTCAATTTCATGTTAGCAATAGTGATCATCGTATTTCGGTCTTTCCATTCCTCAATTGACTGCCGCAGAGTTTTATTCGGCCGCATCATTGTATTTTTCAAAGGTGTAGATGTCATGGGACACAAATTTCCCTCTGCCAACCACTTCTCTATTGCACACCTTTCAAATGTATGCCCTGAAGGAGTCTCCACAGGATCAGTCATAACCTCACCTGTGATCGGGCAATAGAATGACAGAAGAGGTTCCAAAGGTTGATTGCCCAATGATTTCCGCTTTATGAAGTACTTCTTTTCTTTTTCCTGACGGGATGTTGCAGCATCTGCCCTTTCTAGCAGAGCAATTATTTGGTCCATCTGCAAGGCTTCAGCCTGGTCCTTCCTTAGCCGCGCATTGTCTATTTCATCTTTGAATTCTTCAAATTCTCTCCTTAAAGCTGAGCTTTCAGTTGAAACTCCAATGGCCTCAGCAATTGAAACTAACAACTTGTTGGCATAGGACCGATCAACATTTCTCTGATGTATACCTGAGTCTATCTTATTTAAAATCTCTTCTTCAGCTATGGCTGTTTTAAACTCTGCTGTACGCATACTATCCATCACTTGGACAATATCTTCCTTTATACCCGAAGAAATGTCAAGAGAAGCTAAAGGAATGCAACTTAATGCACGGCTAATTTCCCTGGTGATATTTTCTATGCGCTTTGCAATATGCCGACAATTCATTAATAGATAGACCTTGTTTTTCTTACTGCATTCCAAGATAAGTTGCCTTGCATCCACCGTCTGTTGGTTAAGAATTTGTATAACATTTTGCCAGGGTGTGGAATCAGTAATGTTCTTCCTATTGATCTCCTTAAGAAAAGGAACAATACGATTCAAATAATCTGAAAGTTCTGCAAAACTCTTTTTTTCTATAAAGACATTCTTGGAAGTAAGTACTATTTCAAGGATGCTTTCTAAAGTTGCAGAGAGGACATCTGCAAAAGGACCACCAATTACATCGGGCATCATGTTTTCAGCCCCGAAAAACTCTCAAGGACCAGAGTTGAGGCTATCTCATCCCATGTGATTCAATCTAGCAAGTAATGATTCCACTGTAGGAAAAGCCTTCACTTTGCTTTATCTTACCTCAACAAACCTTCATTATAATTTCCAAGTATGCAAATCAGAACACCCACTTCAAAAAATATATATAAAAATTGAGGATACGGGGAGGGGAATTGAACTGAGTTCAGGTAGGGAGCCAACCAACTAAGCTACTAAAATTCTGCTCACAAAACACCCACTACTCAAAAGTTGTAAAACACAAAATATAATTGCTACAAACTCTATATGCTAGTGAATTCAAGCAAGGCAAGCAAATTGTGTTTGGGGTTTTAGCTTGAGAACACAAAGGTTGAAATCTTGGCAAAAACTTTCTCAATTCTACAGCTTTTTCAAGAACATGAGATGAATAATGCTCATGATCAAGAAAGGGAATTAACGGATTATGTTTATACATTCATTTGAAGCAAAAGGGAACAAATCAAGTAGAGCAAGAAGACTAGTTTAAGTCAACCAAAATTATACTAAATATAGATAGCTGACCTGATTAATGGTTGTTATGTCACAAAGAATTGTAAAAAAATTTTAGCCCAACTCAAATAATCAAAAGCTTTGTTGACTGTGCTGGAGAGTTACCTGAAAAAAAAAAAACAAATTGGAAAACTCGAAACCCAAACTCGAGATACATGATATAATGGATTTAGCAAGAAAATGCAGGCGAAAATTCCAGGAAGTATATTAATAATAACAACAAATTTAACAAAGTAGATTGAGAATTTGCATTGAACTTTTCCAAGTGGTGGACTCGGCCCAAGTTTCTCCGTGGGGTTCTTCCATTTTTCCTGGCTTTTACATATAGATATTATTAAATTCTACGTACCAATCTTTTTCTACCTTTTGATCCATATTTTTTATTTACTTTAATGATTAAACTTCAAATGGCTAAAAAATATAAAGTTCTTTCATTTTTCAAATAATCAATTTTAACTCAATTTTTTTTTTTAAGAAATAATTTTGTTCTCGTTAATATTATATTATATTATTATTTTTGTTACATTAGTAAATGACGAATTAGACGACATTTATTGTTTTGTGTCAATTTTTTTTTATATAATTAATTTTGAGTAAAAATTATAAATCAACTAAAATAAAATTTAAACCTAAAAAAGAAAGTTCCCCACCCCACCACGCAAACAAACCCCCCCCCCCCTTACCCTTACCTTTTTTGCAGAAACATCTACTCGCACACAAAATTTGCGCCACTATTTGAAAATAAAATTTCCTTACCAAAAATAATACGATCCCTTGTTTTGCCTAATAAATAACTTGATAGTGAATAAATGTTTGCTAGAAATTTAATTTAGGGTAAAAATGATGGCTAAAAATGTTATAATGAAACACTAAATGAGGTCTCTAAAAATGAATATTATTAGATTAAAATATCTAAATAAAAACTCAAGTTCACTTTAGAAAGCTACGCCCATAAAAACATAACCATACGTGTGATGGCCGCGTTCTGGTCCCGGGAAAGTAAAGAGCGTTCCAAAATTTGGAAAGAATAATACCAAGTTTTGTCCCCTGTGTTTTTTCTTTTTCAACTTCAATCAGTGATGTATTTATATTGAAATTTGATTGAATAGATTTACGTATTATAAAACCTATTTTATAAGAGGGTGGAGAAAAGACATTAAACATAATTTTTTCAATTTTCAAGAGTTAAATTCTAAATCCAAATTTATTTTAGGATTGTATTTTGTTACCTTATATTCTTATATATACTTTTGAGTTTTCTAAGTCATACCTAAAAATTAGACCAGAAAAACAATACGATAACATATTATAGTAAGTATATTATGTACTTTTGAATATTTGATTTTTTCAAAAAATGCTGGGGGGTTGCGATCTTTAAAGTGTGCCAATTTAATGAAATATTTTTGAGTTTTTCTTTGAGATTATAACGAAAGGAATATATCAACTCTAAATAACAAAGTTGAAAAATATATCCAACCATTTTCTCTTAAATAAAAGATTATGTTACCGCGTACAGATTTAGGATGTTTAGTAGCATGATGTACACGTGTAGTTATTAGGATTACTGCCGCTTCTTGTCCACATACGAGTTTACGACTATTGGCTTACGGAGCGATAAGAAAGTTCTCCCTTTTTCTTGTGGGAAGACTTCTAAGTGAAAACATTGCACAAGTTGCACTAGAATGTTCCGGACTTATTATCTGATTACTTTTTTTAATTTCAAACATTATTTTTATTATAATTATCTATTGAATAATTTTAAATTATTAATTATAATGACTTTTAAACTTTATTTAAAACACCTAAAAAATTTCATATATGAATTGACGATTTAAAATTAAATAGTTTTGATTTTTGAAATTTAAATTATGACACATAAATTAGAATGAGATAGAAGAGTAGTTGAAATTATCACTGGTTTTTTTTTCTGTATTATTCGGTCTTGATACTCATATTATGTCAAATAAAACATAAAGACTTTATGAAGAGAGAAAATTCTACGTAAGTCAGGATTTTTTTTTTCTCTTTTTCTTATAGACGTAAGATGGAATGTGCTGAAAAATGAATTGACATTAACCATTTACTTTATGCTGAAAAGAAAAAGAAAAAGACAAGTGTGGAAAAACTCTTCTTAATATCACTATTCAAGTTTTAAGGCGGAGATAAAGTTTAAAAAAAAGCACACTTGTCTTTTTTAGTTTAATATTTAAACTATTTGAGAAACACATTTCTGTCTTTTATATCACTCTCAAGTGTCATCATGACGTGTGTAATACATACTCAATTTTATTTTTTTAAAAAAATTCATAGCACATTTCACATGAACAAAACATTCGACCTTAATAAAAATTATTAGTACTTTTTTAAATTAAAAATCAAAAAAATTATTTAAAATTAAGAAATTATTATCTAAGAAAATAATCTTTCTTTTATAAGTAAAATGTAAAATATTTTCCTTATCCACTCTATCACTTCCTCTCACCCCCGGGCCATCTTTTTAAAAGTTTTTTTAATTTAAATTTCCTTTAAAAAAGAATTTAACCCCCCTCCCCAAAGACTAATTAAGTTATTAAATTTTACCCACCCCACCGAATATATCAAAACTACTTTCTATTTGCCACCGCAAAACAATTTTTAATTTATTACTTATTTATGTTATATTTGATATATTAGTAGAATTTTTTAAAAAAGTGTATGTACATGTCTAACACAAAATTAGAAAAATGAAAAAAAAAATAGGAGCTAAGGATTACATAGGAGGAGGGGTAGAATTTTTTTTCAAAAAATAATAATATCAATCTTTTTGTGTGTGAAAAAAATGATAGTAATACTTTAATCTTTGATTTTTAATTAATATCAATAGTTTGTCACTTAATTTTTGTTAATATGAAATATTTTATCCATGTGGAACGTCATGTGTCAAGGTTTTTCAAACAAAAGAGAGTGTATTACATATACCACTAAGGTATGTTTCTCAAACTAAAAAGTGATAATTTAGGTATGTAATTCACACTCGTTTAGACATGAAATTAAAAAAAAAAAGAGAGAGAAATTTAGGTGTGTGTTTTACACTTTTATCTCTTTGTGGCACACACAACAGCTTAGGCTTCTATAAAACAACTGTATTAAGCCAAAAAAATCAGAAATTCAGAATGCAAATCCACACAGGCTCTTTGAAATCAGCTAGTTGGTGTCATGTTGTATGAGATGCAACGAGCTAAAGGACTATCATGAGCTAGATTCTTGATAGTTCTCACTTCTCAATATCATATACCTGGAAATGATGCCGTTGGGAGTTTTACTTGGAAAGATATCCAAAGTTGCGTTCTTGAAGATTCGTGCAAAAGGATGCATCAGGATACTAAGGTGCCAGAATATGTTTCTTATAAAAAGAGCGGCAACTGCTTCACTCCTTCCTCCTACAACAAAATTTAGTGAGAGCCCAAAATGAAGAGGCTAGTACATTATTGCCAATTAGAATTCAGACAAAAGGACTGAAGAACTTATACAGAATAGCTAGCACTGCAGTTAGCTCCCACGATATTGCTACAGATCTTAAATAAGAACAACACCAGCTATCTTACAGATTTACCTGGTATATTCAGTCGGTACAATTGGTTCATTGTCATACAACTATCTCACTTTTTAATAGTCATTGCATCTAGGACAAAAATCAATGCAGTTCTCTATATGTATCAGGATAAAGTAGCTCAGCAAGAATCTTTTCGAAAAAATCCTGTCCTTTTCAAAGCTATTTCCAATCACTGAGAAACAGTGATACGATGTAAAGAGTAGCGACGATAAAGACAACCACGTCCTTTGACATCAGTAAGACAAAACCATCTTATGTACAACCACAAAAAACAAACAGAAAAAGCATGGAGAGTAATCACAGAAAGAATCATGCAGTGAGTGTTTGCAACAAAACAAAAGACCAAGCAATCTCAGCAAATATCCTCAAAAAGTGGACATGCTAAAATGATTAGACATACAACTAAAGCAGTCAAGGCTTTGTGAGAGTTTGTTACTGAAGGACCAAAGCAAACATTTAAAATAGTTGAAAGTTAAATGTTCAATGTTGAGGATCACGACAACCAAAATCAAATTTTACCAATTACTGAAGGGCAAAAAATGAAATTATCTGAAAAACAAATCTCTAGAGTTCAAATCTTCATAACATACATATGAATTGCACATAACCATTATAGAGGTGAAGAAAAGCCAAGTTTTGCTGCAGAAATTAGGAAGCTATTTTTTAGGTATGTGCTAGAATCCTACTAGGTATATAAGAACTCGGTGGAGTTACCCTATCCTCACAAATAGAAATACATTAGAGTTGGAACAGGATGATGTTAGATATCATATACAAAATATATACGGTGCCTTGAGAAATAGCCTTTATAAACAAGACAAAAACACTAGAAAAAGAAAGAAGTTCAGGAAATAGCAAACGGGTTACCAACTTATTTGAAGCAGATGAAGGCATCTTATCCAATTATGATGCTTGCCTCCTCGTGAAGTACTTTTTTCCGCAGCAAATCACAAACAAGGCCAGGGAGAGGGTAATGATTCTTTCATTAATCAAACGAAAATAAATGGACAAAAAAGAAACCCTTCTATATTTTGAATATCTATTGGAACAATTCTGGAAGCATTTTGAGAAGTGCAGCAAGATAATTTTATGCAAGTTTGCTTGGTATAGGCATCATATCTCTAAGTAGACAATTTTTCTTCAAGGCTTTGCTATTTTTTTCTTCCATAGATCTCTCTTTTTCTTCTTCTTCTTCTTCTTCTTCTTCTTCTTCTTTTTTGGCTGTAATGTAATTGGACAAGTGCAAGAAGAGTCTCTTATGTTGTAGTACTAGAAATGACTAACATAACACGATGTCATGGGCATAGTTTCCTTTCTACTTATATCGTGAAGAATGGAAGTGGACATTTCATGATGATGTAGTGTTTTTAAATATTTATGTGAAGTGCTAAGGGATTGATTCTCCAACTATGTTCTTCCTTTACACATAATAAGACAGACATAATTTACAACAATATTAAGTAACCTACTCTATCTCAGAGCAATACAGTAGAACTGTTACTTGGTTGAAAGCCGACCTTTTACTTGTTTGATCCTTTTATGTTGTCATCAAACAGCATATCCCATGCTTCACATTATTATTTTCCAGCCTCCTTCCACAAATGGCCCGACACTGTCGTCCAAAGAATATCAAGGTTCTTCTGAACTTCAGACATGTTTGCACGGGGGAGCTTGTACCATCTTGAATCAGGCACCGAGACCAACACCAAAACTCACATTAATGGGTAATTCTTGTGTGAACCATGCTTGCTCTCCCTTTAGAATCAAATGTTGGGCATGAGGAACGTTAGAACAAACATTTACACTTCATTCTCTGACAATGTCTTATCCAAAACGGCACATACATTTTGAATATCAGTAACAAACTTGGCCACAAGGACTCCCCAAGTTTCAGGATCAACATCACCTGATGCTGCCAGAGCAAGCACCCTTAAAATTTCTGCGTTGAGTTCAGAGTCAAGAAGCCCCTTGATTAAGATGGAATAAGTAGATTTGTTTGGGTGACACCCTTTGTCAAGCATCTCTTCCAGAACTCTAATTCCTTCCTTAGCATTTCCAACTTTGCAAAAGCCTTTGATCAACATGTTGTAAGTAAAAGCATTAGGAATGCAACCCTTGTCTACCATGTCATCCCATAACCTCCCAGCTTCATGCAGTTCTCCTTTCTCACACATCCCAGCAATAAGCATGTTATATGTCAAAACACTAGGACTCGAACTCTTTTCAAACTCGTCAAACAATTTCCTTGCTTCTCGAATCTGTCCCTTCTTACAGAGCCAGTGAACAAGTGTGCTGGATATTGTATTATCTGGAGTACAATTTTTTACCAATAGTTTCTTCCACAAATCACACGCCTCCTCAACCTTCCCCTCTTCACACAAGACATCAATCACCTTAGAGCAAAGTGTTGGGCTTGGTATATACCTCTTATCTAGCATATCGTTAAGTAAATTAACAGCTTCACCGGACTTCTTTTCCTTGCAAAATGCCTCAATCATAATTCCATATGTCACTTCATTTGGCCCAATCCCATTGTCGTCCATCTCATCCATTATCTTAGCTGCATCAATAAACTTCCCTTGCTTAACATAACCATGCATCAAGATAGTGTACGTCGTTGCATCAGGCAACCACCCTCTATCAACAATTTCATCAAACATCCTCTTGGCGCCGAGTAAATCACCAAGTGATACATAACAACCCAAAATGGTTGTGTAGCTCACAACATTGGGAACTATTCCCATCACAGGCATCTCATCAAGAACTTTAGTTGCACTATTAATATCGTCTTTCTTACAGAGAGCATTCAACAAGATATTACAAGTAAACACACTGGGCGTTATATGCAACTTCTTCTGGCAATTCTTAAACAAAGCGTAAACAAAATCATACTCTTTGTTTTGTACTAAAGCATTCAATAAAGCATTAAATGATCTGACTGACCTCTGAACTCCAAATTTTTCAATTCGCAGAAAGGTCTTAAGGGCCAATTTGGGCTTACCAGCAATCCCATAGTTCCGAATCACATTTACAAACAAAACTTCCCCACATTTGATGCCGGAATTTCGTAATTCAGTTAAAAGGGTCTCTACTTTATCAAAGGCCCGAGCACGGCAGAGCTTGTTGAGGATGGAGTGGTAGGTTTCGTAATTATGGAAAAAACCAGGGTGGAAGTTGCCAGCGTGGTGAAATATTTGGAGGGAAAGATTAACATCATGCTGGGATTTGACGAGTGAGATGAGATTTTTATGGGAAAGGTATCGGGGCCACGGTTTGATGGGTGGGGTGACGGTGTAGGATTGGAGAAGCTCCGATTTGGATTTGATGGTGGCGAGGTGCTGGTACGATGGATGCGTTTTGAAGGGGTCATCATCATCGGCGGCGGCGGAGGGGGCGGAGGCGGCGGTGGTTGAGAACAAGTGGGTGAAGTTGATTGTGGTGTAGACCCACCGTCGGTGGCCGGCAAACTTTGGGGAGATTAACATGGCCGAAACTCGGTGACTACGACGTTTCGATGTCGGTTTCTGAGTTTTACCCGCCGCTCCGAGACAAATTTCTTGCTTAATTACATTTCTTCCTTATATTTCTTATAAAACTACCATTAACCCCTCTTTCTTTCAATTATGTAACATTAAGTCTATATATTTTTTTGCACTCCTAAAATACCTTAGTAGTTAGTTGCCTTATGTTTTCTTTACTAACAACGTCAAAAAAAATCTACTCTAATCTCACGAGCGTGATTTGAAGAGGATAAAGGAACATGGCCTGATTTATATAATTGTGCGATAAAATAATTATTTTGATTGATTCTTATAATTTTTTTTCTTTATTTAAATTTGAGACCGACAATACGAATGAATTTACAAATAAAAAATATTTTTTTACTAAAACATTATATAACAAATAATTGTGTCTGTAGAAGAGTGAAGATGATTGATCCTAATTTTCCAATCATGATATGATGCATGTGAGATTTTCCTTCCAAAAAACTATTCTTCGCCTCAGCTCTTCTTATCATTAACCCAACACAATGCCACATAATATATACTTTCGTCCATGAAGCACTTAATTCAAATAACTTAACCTAAACAGTTCCAAATTAAAGGAAACAATGATTATTAAGTAATATGAAATCGATAAGCCAAACACATGTATTGCCTTCATTTGACAAAAATAAAAAATAAATGAAAAAAAATCCTCAATTGTCTTTTTTTAAAAAAAAATTAAATCCATATTTACCTAAACTATTGAGAGTGTGAATTTCATACTTAAACTATCACTTATTTGTTTGAGAAACACGCATTTTTCCTTTATTTTTAAAAAAATTATCACATTTCATTCCCCATGTGCAAAACATTTCACCTTGACAAAAATTAAATAAAGTTATTAGTATTAGTCAAAATTTTAAAATTAAAATTATCATCCCAAAAAAATTATAAAATAAAATATAAAATATTTTCCTTATTTACACCTCCCCCACCCATTTCTTTTTAGTTTTTTTTTTTTACATTTAATAATTTAAATTCACTTTTTTTAAAAAATTAGGATAGTAGTATTTTATTGTTTATTTTTTAAAATTAATATTAATAGTTTATTATTTAATTTTTTGGTGAAATAATTTATCCATGTGAAATGTCCTGTGTCGAACTTTTTTTCAAATAAATAGAAAGAGCATTACACACTACTAAATTGTGTTTGTCAAACTAATAAGTGATAATTTAGGTATAAAATTCACACTTTTAATAATTATATTTAAAAATAAAGAAATGAATTATCTAGATTTGTTTTTCATACTTATCTCGATAAAAAATAGGGAAAATTGTATATAATAGCAAACTAATAACCTAAAAGGGAGAAGGGTCACATATGCCCCTAAACTATTTGAAGAGGTTTAGATATACCCTCCGTTGAAAGTTTGGTCCATTTATACCCTCGCCGTCCAACTTTTGGTCTACATATGCCCTTTTGGGCGTTAGTTGACCAACTCGAAATATCCAACTCATTTTACTTTTATTTAAATGTCAAATGGATTTTTCACGTCATTTTTATGTATTATCACTTGACATTTATATTTCAAGGAAAAAGAGTCAAATATGCCTCTAAACTATTCGAAAGGTCTAGATATACCCCCATTTAAAGTTTGGTCAATTTATATTCTCGCGTCCAACTTTTGGTCTACATATGCCCTTATGGGTGTTAGTTGGTCAACTCGAAATATCCAACTCATTTTACTTTTCTTTAAATGCCAAATGGGATTTCACATCATTTATATATATTATCACTTGACATTTATATTAAAAGAGAAAGGGGTCACTTATGTCCTAACTATTCAATCCAATTTTAAAACACATATACGACCGTCTTTTAAATAGTTCAATTATGCCCCTAATCCGACTCATATATGTGTGAATTATTTTGTTATTTACGTCATCATCGCCTGCTGCAGCTTGTAGTTGTGTCTGTAACGTTGTTGCGGTGAACTCTTCTGCTTTAGCCCTTGCCTGCCAGGTTTGCGCCTCCAGCTCTACGTTGCGCCAAAACACTTTTCAAACCTCGACTTCCTTTTCCTTTAGTTGTCGTGCCACTGATTCCCCGACGGTTTCAATCAGAGCACGATAGTGTTCGCCATTTAAATGGTTCAATTATGCCCTAATCCGACCCATATAGGGTATATAAAAAAAAGGGTCGGGTTGTATAGATTATTTAAAAGACGGGTCGTATATGTGTTTTAAAATTAGGTCGGATAGTTAGGGGCATAAAAGACCCCTTTCTATTTTAATATAAATGTCAAGTAATAATATACAAAAATGATGTGAAAAATCCATTTGGCATTTAAAGAAAAGTAAAATGAGTTGGATATTTCGAATTGACCAACTAACACCCATAAGGGCATATGTAGACCAAAAGTTTAGACGCGAGGGCATAAATTGACCAAACTTTAAACGGGGGTATATCTAGACCTTTCGAATAGTTTAGGGGCATATTTGACCCTTTTCACTTGAATATAAATGTCAAGTGATAATACATAAAAATGACGTGAAAAACCCATTTGACATTTAAATAAAAGTAAAATGAGTTGGATATTCCGAGTTGGCCAACTAACGCCCAAAAGGGCATATGTAGACCAAAAGTTGGGACGGCGAGGGTATAAATGGACCAAACTTTAAACGGAGGGTATATCTAAACCTTTTCAAATAGTTTAGGGGCATATTTGACCCTTCTCCCAACCTAAAATAAATAGAGTAGCTAGGGTTTGATTTAATTGTGCTCCATAGCAAACGTTTGCAAAAAATTGTCAGGCGCCTCTCTCCCAAATATCTCGTTCGCCACTCTCCTCCAATCTCTCGCTCGCTTCCTCACTTTTTATACAAACACAAGTGTATAAAAATTGGTTTCTAATTGTATAAAGCAAAGAAAATTGTATAAATACATATATTTTTGTTCCTCTCTCTTCCCTCTTTCAGATCTCACTCGCCACTCTCCCAAACCTCACTCGCCACCCTCGCCTTTCTCACTTATACAAACAGAAGCGAAATATATAAATTGCGTTTATATTTGTATAAAGCGTGAGAAAATTGTATATACACATGCAAGTACATATATGTTTGTCCTATACACTTATAATTATACAATAAAAATACTCCCCTGCCCAGTTTCTTTTGTCATTCTCTCTTTCTCGTTTTATACAATTTTCAAATTGTATCTAATTTCTGTCTTTTTCGTTTTATACACTTCGTTTCAATTGTACATTCCTTGTCAAGTCTCTTTTGTCGTTCTCTCTTTCTCATTTTATACAAATTCAAATTGTATATAATTGTTCTATACACTTATAATAATATAATTCGTTATATACACTTCGTTTTTATACAATTCTTTGCCCAAGTGTCTTTCTTTTTCTTGTTTTGTACACTTCGTTTTATACAATTTGCTTCAACTGTATATGTATAGCGAATTATACAGTTTCTATGTTTGATATGGAGCGCAATTATGCAAACTTTGCTATAACATACAAATATAAATTTTTTATTTGCTATATATGAAAATTGCCCTAAAAAATAAAACAAAATGTACTAATGAATTGAGGTAGGAGGAGGGGTAAGTGAAAGTTGAGGACATGTTGTAAACCACCTAACACATGTTTTGTAGCTTCTTGTTTGTTTTTGGGCCTATGCGTCAGACCAAAGGAAACGTTTTCTGGACCCGCTTTTGCCAGCCCAGTTCTGACTGTGACCTGCTAGTTGGTATACCTATTTGAAAATATAATTAAATAATAAAAAATATATAATTAAATAATAAAAATGTGTTCTTTCTAACACTTAAGTTTATGGACGAGATTATTACACACTTTGATATGATATTAGAGTAAGCAGAGCTCTTGGGATATAATTTCACTGCAGTCCAAAAGTAAAAAGACTTTTTATTGACCCATTAAAAAGAATCAGACTCGCACATAAAGAAACACGTTACAAATAGTCACCTACTTTAACAATACCAAACCTGCTGGGCATATAAGTGAGATAGATTTTGGAATATTGTGGTAAGAGTGATTTGGAGCATTAAAGATTGACGGTACTTGTTGATTGTGCTGTTTGTAACTATAACAAACAAAAAAAATGATCCTAAAGTCTTTGATTATGTTGTTTGTAACCATAATTCAAAATGTTTACAAGGCTGGATATTTTGATCAATTTAAGGTTGCTCTCTAGCTAAATTGAGATTTTTTTAAAAAAAATCATGAGGACTGGCATCAACCTTTGATCTGAAAATTTGTATAGATGTTAGTTGTTATTATTAAGATATAAACGCGAGTAGCAAATTTCCATTGTTCTGGTCATTTAATGTCCATTTTCTTTAATTTTGTCGTATTTACATACTTAATTTCCTTATTTTATGTGGTTTTCGTTTGGCAGTTGGCACTGATATTTACAAACTTATTGCTTATAAATTACTGTCCGTCCTTAATTATTTATTAATTTTTTTAGTTATTTTTAATTATTTATTTATTTTGATAAATTAATGATAAATTTTTTTTGGCAACTTTCACATATAGCAAACAAAAAATTCATATTTATATGCTATAGCAAACTTTGCATAATTGCGCTTCATAGCAAACATAAAAACTGTATAATTTGCTATACATATACAATTGTATAATTCGCTGGCCTATTTCGCTGCAATTGTATAATTTATTTTGCATACAGTTGAATCGAATTAAAATGTATGTATATTGCATAATTATAAGTGTATAGCAAGAAGATATATGTTTTTCTCGCTTTATACAAAAACAGAAACACAATATATACACTTCTGTTGTATAAAGCTAGAGAAAATTGTATTTCACTGCAATTGTATAATTCGCAATTGTATAATTCGTTGGCCTTTTTCTCTGCAATATTTGAAGTAAAATGTTTGTAAATTGTATAATTAAGTGTATAACACGAAGATATACATTTTTGCATGTGTATATACAATTTTCTCTCGCTTTATACAAAACAGAAACAGAATTATACACTTCTGTGTATAAAGCGAGAGAGGCGAGCGAGAATGGAGAGTGGCGAGCGAGATTTTTGGGAGAGAGACACTGGCAAAATTTTAGCTAATGTTTGCTATGGAGTACAATTAAA